AGCTGGGGGGGAGGGGGAGGGAGGGCAGTGAAGGGAGGGCAGAGATGTGGGGTGTGTGGGGAACCAAGTTGGCATACCGCTGTTGGTCCTCGCCCACCCCTGCTAGTTAATCCCTCGTGCACTCCTCACCCGGCGCACTGCTGCTGCTGGCCACACGAGCGAGTAGCTGGGGGGTAGAGGGGAGGGCAGATGGGTGGGTGACGAGTTAGGCAGGTCGCTGTTGGTCCTCGCCCATCCCTGCGAGATAATCCCTCGTGCACTCCTCACCCGGCCGCACTGCTGCTGCTGGCCACACGAGCGAGTAGCTGCAGCATACAGGGGAGGGCAGTGACGGACAGGAGGGCAGAGATGTGGGGTGCATGGGGAAGAGCATGCTTCGCCAACCATTGCTGCTCCTCGCCCACCCACCCCAGCGAGGTAGTCCCTTGTGCACTCCTCACCGGCTGCACTGCAGCAACAGGCCACACGAGGGAGTAGCTGCTGCAGATAGGGGAGGTGAGAGAGGTTAGAGACAGGAGATGGGAGTAGAGAGAAGGAGATGAGAGGGCAGAACACCCCCTCCACCACTCCAGAGAGGTAGTCCCCAGTGCACACCCGCCCTGCATGCCACTCCTGCTCTGCCACTCCTGCCCTGCCACTCCTGCCCTGCCTGCACTGCACTCCTACCCTGAAAGTAAACCCACCTGACAGCAGAGGCGAATGAGCCGTCGGGGAGGAAGAGGAAGGGCGAGCAGCGGAAGTTGGGGCGGTCGCTGTGGCGGAACGCAGAGCCGAACTCGTCCATGACGTACCTGGGAGAGAGGGGGTGGGAGGGCGGAGGGGAGGGGGCCAGAGGGGGGAGAGAGAGAGGCGCAAGCTTTAAGGCACTAAAAGGGAGTCGGAGGAGCATCAACGCGAAGTTGGGGCGGCCGATGTGGCGGAAGGCAGTGCTGAGCACGTGCATGACGTGCCTGAGGGTGCGGAAGGGGGGGTAGAGAGGGGTGGAGAGGGTGGATATGGGGATGATTAAAGGAGCGTGAGAGGAGTGAAAGGGGCAATGCGGAGGGAGCTGGGGCGGCCATTATGGCGCAGTTCAGAGCCCAGCTCGTGCATGATGTACCTGAGGGGGAGGATGCGGGGGGGGGGGGAAAGGGGGTTTACTGGGGAAAACCAGAGGAGCGTGGAGGGAGGAACGAAAGGGGCTGTGGGGGGGAGATTGGAAGGTCGCTATGACCAACGGCACTGCTGATCTCGTGCATGATGTATGTTCCTGCAGGGGGGGAGAGGGGAGAGAAGGAGGGAAGAAAAGGGGGAAGGTAGTAAGAGTGGGTGTGGGGGAGAAGGAAGAGCATTGGATGGCACTGCCGTGCCGCACCTACCTCTTGCCCCCTTCTTCTCCCTACCGCCATACAACATGGTCACAACATGAAGGGGGGGAGAGGTAGATGCGGCACGGCAGTGCCATACAACACGGTCACAACATGAAGGCATCTCTCGTACCGGACCACACACTCACCACACAGCAGACTCGTCCAGCTTGTTCTCAGTCGCGAGCTTGTAGCTGCACACATGGCGCCCCATAGTACGGAGCACACGGCACGCATGCATGCATGTACTGCCTTGCCTATACTGCATTGTCGAACTCACTCACCACACAGCAGACTCGTCCAGCTGGGTCTCAGTCGCGAGCTTGTAGCTGCACACGTGGCGCCACATGGCGTGCAGGACGCGATCCACCAATGGCGTGCCGGGCTGGCAGGCTGGCAGGCGGGGGAACATCCAGGAACCTCCCCGGGTGAAGGAGGAGAGCAGAGCGCCGTTGAGGGAGGAGAGGTGGGGGAGAGTGCGGGCTGTTTCGTACGGATCGAAGGGGAATGGGCCTTCCAGGTCTATCTGGGGAAGGGAAAGAGGGGTTGAAAAAAGGGTTTCAAGAGGGGAAAGGGAGCTTGAGGCGGACAGCAGAGCGGTGTTGAGGGAGGAGAGGTGGGGGAGAGTGAGCGCAGCCTTTTAAGGGTCAAAGGGGAATGGATCTTCTAGGTCCACCTGGGGAGATGGAGTGGGGATATGGCAGGGAGGAGAGCAAGTCAGCAATGAAGGAGGAGAGGTGGGGAAGAGTGAGGATAGTGCTGTAGAGTTCAGGCGGGAATGGGCCTTCCAGGTCCACGCGGGGAAAGGAGAGTGGGGCAAAGAGCATCATAACATACAAGAGGCGTCAGCCACGAGGAGAGCCCGGGTAGAAAGGTGGCAGGATACCCGAAGGAAGAGCTGTGTGCGACACAGGGCAGGGGCGGGGGTGAAGGGAGAGCTGGGGAGAAGTCTGGGTAAGGCTCTGCCGCTGCGCCGCTGTGTTGCTGTGCCACTGTGCCGTGTGGGTCCAAGGGGAATTTACGTCCAGGTCCATGTGGGGAGGTGGTGAAGAGGGGAGTGAAGCAAAGAGGGGGGGTGAAGCAAGGAGGGGGGTGAAGCAAAGAGGGGGGGTGAAGCAAAGAGGGGGGGTGAAGCAAAGAGGGGGGGTGAAGCAAGGAGGGGGGTGAAGCAAAGAGGGGGGGTGAAGCAAGGAGGGGGGTGAAGCAAAGAGGGGGGGTGAAGCAAGGAGGGGGGTGAAGCAAAGAGGGGGGGTGAAGCAAAGAGAGGAGAGCGTGCAGGAGGGGAGCATGCGGGAGGGGAGCATGGGATTATTGAGGAGGAGAGGTGGGTGGGAAGGAAGTAATGGCAGCATGGCATGGCATGGGTCAAAGGGGAATCTGGCATTCATCTGGTGCTCACCCAGCATTCATCCGGCACCAGCACCCACCAGCACCCACCAGCACCGCACTTACTTGTACGGAGCGCAGCAAGGGAAGGGAGGCGAGGGGCAGCAGCACAGACGAGCGAGAGGCGTCGATGGGGGCGAGGAGGGAGAGTGATCTGGGGGAAAGCATACCAACACCCACCAGCACTCACCACCACTCACCACCACTCACCAGCACTAGCACCCACCAGCACCCATCAGCACTGCACTTACTTGTACGGAGCGCAGTGAGGGGAGGGAGGCGAGGGGCAGCAGCACGGACGAGCGAGAGGCGTCGATGGGGGCGAGGAGGGAGAGTGGAAGCGGGTTTCGAGAGAGGTTGATGCGGGCGAGGTTGGGGAGGAGCGTTGCGGAGAAGACCTGTGAGATGGGATGAAAGAGGGTGAAGAGAGAAGGGCACGGGGAAAGGGAAAACAACGGAGAGGGTTAAGGGAGAGGTTGATGCGGGCGAGGGTGGGGAGGAGCGTTGGGGAGAAGACCTGTGAGATGGGATGAAAGAGGGTGAAGAGAGAAGGGCACGGGGAAAGGGAAAACAACGGAGAGGGTTAAGGGAGAGGTTGATGCGGGCGAGGGTGGGGAGGAGCGTTGGGGAGAAGACCTGTGAGATCGGGCAGAGAAAGGCGCAGGAAAAAGGGAGAGGAAAATAAGGGAGGGGAGAAGACCTGCAGGTGATTTTTGAGAATTCTGAAAAATCACCTACAACCAAGGGGGGCGCATGGGGGAGAAGACCTGCAGAGCAGACGACACGAGGATAGAAGAGTGAAAAGATGGGGGGGGGGGAGAAGAGGGGGGAGGGGGGAGGGGGACTGAACGGAAGGGGGGTGGCAAAGAAGAGGTGCAATGAGATACGATGTGGGAACAAAATGGACAACATGGGGCGCAGCGCAGGTGCTTGCGGCGCCCCTAACCTAGGGATGTAAGGCGCTTTGAGCCAAGCTGAGCCAGCTCAACTCTCTCCCAGGAATATTTTCCTCACATTAAAACCCCCCTTGGTGATTTTTGAGTCGACTCAAAAACACCCAGGAAGATTTCCTCACATTAACTCCCCTCCTCATCCCTCCCCCCTTCCTGCACCCCTTCCCGTCCCCTCCTGTTCCCTCCTCCTCCCTCCCTTCCCCTCTCCCCTCCCCTCTCCCCTCCCCTCCCCTCTCCCCTCCCCTCCCTCTTTATCGATCTGTGTCCCTCACTCTGATGCCCTCATGCTTCAGTTCGACTCTCCCACAGTAGAAAGGGTCAAACAGGTCAACCCAAGTCAGCAGTCCTAGCCATAGTTGGAGCCCACTCTCTCATACCTCCTGCTTCAGCTCCATCCACTATCCCCCCCCCCCCCCAAGACCTGACAGGTCAACCCAAGTCAACCATTATATTCGTGGTTTGGCCCCATCTCTGCCTCTTGCTTCAGCCCCACTACACCCCAATCAGACAAGTCAACCCAAGTCAGCCCAGCCCAGCCCAAGTCAACCATTAGATTCGTGGTTTGATTGACCCCATCCCTTATCACACGGCAATGCCTCCTGCATCAGCTCCACAATCCCCCGGCCAGGCAGGGCAATCTCAGGGTACGTTCCCCCCTAATGTCAGGATTTTTAACCTGAAGCTATCGATGGTGCAGATCCTGACACGTCAGAAATTCTTATGAGGTGTAACGCTCGAAACCGTCCGTGCTTCATGTCAAGATGTTTTCACATTATGGGGGAGCGTACCCTCAGTCAACCCATTTCACCGTGGCTTGACCCGAGACAAGACCAGTCAATCTCAGTCAACCATACTCTTCCTGGTTTGACCCGAGACAAGACAATCCAAGCCAGGAGTCAACCATACTGTCTTGAACGGCCATACCTCCTGCTTTAGCTCCACTTCTCCCTGGGCCCCAGACCGATAAGTCAATCTCAGTCAGCCATATTTTCCGTGGTTTGACCCGAGCCAAGAAAGGTCAATCTAAGTCAACCACACTATCGTATACAGTCATACCTCCTGCTTCAGCTCCACTATCCCCCGGTCAGACAGATCAATCTCCGTCAACCGCGCCAGCTCAGCAGCTGCCATGTCATCGGCCAGCGTGGCGCAATGAGGGCCTGCCACGTCAGCAGCGAAGAGCAGCGCCCAGGTGGAATAGCATCGGGTGAAGTGGCGGTTGAAGAGCTCGAGGTTGGGAAGGGATGCAAGGACAGTGTTCCTTAGAGCGACAGCAGAGGGCCTGTGTGAGGGAAGGAACAGCGAGGCAGGAAGGGATAGAGGGGGGGATCAGCGCCCGGGAGGAGTAGCGGCGGGTGAAGAGCTTGAGGTGGGGGGCAGAAGCGAGGAGAGCGTTCCTCAGAGCAGCAGCAGAGGACCTGTGAGAGCGCTTCAGGGGGGGGAGAGGGGAGGGGGAAAGAATTGGGGAGGAGCAGAGCAGCAGAGGCAGCACTGTGAGTGCAGCGCCCATCCAGGAGGGTGAAATGGCGGTTGAGAGCTCGAGGTGGGGGAGAGACGCGAGGAGAGTGTTCCTCAGAGCAGCAGAGGACCTATGAGAGCATGGGGAAATGGGGGGAGGGAAGGGAAGGTGGGGAACAGGGGGGAAAGGGGGGAAAAGGGGGGGAAATGGGGGAAAGGGGGAGAAAGGGGAGAAAAAGGGGGGAAAGGGGGGTTAACAGGGGAGGAGCAGAGCAGAGGCAGCAGTGTGAGAGCAGCGGGCACGAGGAGTAGCAGCAGGTGAAATGGCGGTTGGAGAGGTGCTGATTCTAGCTCCGGGGGCGAAGCGAGGAGAGTGTTCCTTAGAGCAGCAGCGGAGGGTCTGGAAGGGCATTGGGCGTTGGAACTTGGAGGATGGGGATTGGGAAAAGGGAGGCGGGAAGGGTTACTCCGTGGCAGTGCAAGGGTTGTTGTTGCGCCAGAGCGTAAGGCGGGAGGTGAGAGGTGAGAGGCGAGGATATGCAAGTGGCACCCACCCAATCGCACATGTAGATACCTTAAAGAGATTCAACGAGAACCCTGATTCCCCACTTACTCTGTTGCAACACAGGGGTTGTCGTTGAGCCAGAGGGCCTTGAGAGAGGCGAGGGGAGAGAGGATGGAGGCCACCCGAGCAGCATCTGTGAGGCGGTTGCCCCAGAGGCTCAGACCCACTAGGTTCTGGTAGGGAGAGAGGGCGAGACAGGACAGTTGTGTGAGAGTGTGACTATGCCGAGGCAGTGTGCTGGCTATGTAAAACGGGGAGGAAGGGGATGGATGGACGCCACTCGAGCAGTGTCTAACGCGGTTGCCCCAGAGGCTCAGACTAGACATGGGCAAAATGCGATTGCGATTTAAATCGCATCGCATTGGGGGGCGGTTTAATTAAATGTGATGCGATTTTAAATCGCATCGCGCGATTTAATTTCTGGAAAAAAAATCATCGCACATCGCGTTTTGCGCACGATGAATATGTAAACCGCATGCGGTATTTAATTAAATCGCGCGATGCGATTTTAAATCGCATCGCGTTTTAAAACAAAATAAATAAATAAACACCCCAAAAAAACAGAAAAAAACCATGGCTGTGGGGAAATTGACTCACGGGCAGTCGTAAGCTAGAGTGCAAATAACCAGTGTGGTTTCGTTGTGGGTTTCAGAGTGGGTTTCAGTGCAACATCGCGCGCGATTTTTTAAAATCGCATATCGCATTTAAATCGCGTTTTTTTAGCGCGATTAAAATGCGATTTAATTTAAATCGCGCGATATTAATTCATCGCATCGCGCGATGATTTAAATAAATAAATAAATTTATATATAAAAAAAAAACAAAAAAAAACACCGCGATCGCAAATACGCGATTAAATGCGATGCGATGCGATTTTTTTTGCCCATGTCTAGCTCAGACCCACCCACTAGGTTCTGGTGATGGGGATGGGGATGGGGATGGGGCGATACAGGGCAGGAGTGTGAGAGTGCGACAATAACGGGGGAGAGGGTTGACTATGCAAAGCAGGGATAAAAAAGGAAGGCACTTGAGCAGCGTCTGTGAGCTGGTTGCCTTGCCACAGAGGGGCAGACCCACTAGATTTTGCAGATGGGGATATGGCGCGGCGAAGGGAGAGGGGTGTGAGTGAGAGTGTGATGATCACGGAGGGAAGAGTTTGGCAATAACGAGGGAAAGTGGTTAAACTACGCAACAGGGAAAGGACAGCGACGATTAGGTCAGGATGACGGAAATAGGCCGACGAAAACAGCGATTTGACAGGTACGTGAGTGTGCGACAGTGAGAGTGAGAATGAGAGTGAGAGTGACACAAGCGAAGGCTGAACTTATAGAGCAGTATTGGTGCAACAGAAGCCAGGAAACGCTCTGCACCCCATCCCACACAATAGAGGCAGCCTCGTTAGCCCTCACAGGGTAGCGCTTGTGCAGCTTCATGGCTTCGAGCATGTCCTCGTCAAGCCACCCCTTCCATCATCTCTCTCAAGCCACTCCTTTTGAGTCGACTCAAACGTACTCTCTAGAGGCAACCTCGTTAGCACTCACAGGGAAGCGTTCGTGTAGCTTCATGGCTTCCAGCATATCCTCGTCTATGCCCTCCCCATCCATCTCCAACCACTCCTCATCCCTCTCCACCCCTCCCTCCACCCCTCCCTCCACCCCTCCCTCCACCCCTCCCTCCAACCCTCCTTCCACCTCTCGAGATGACTCACTTTCCACCTCTCCCTCCCCCTCTCCTCCTTGGTTTCGAGCATCCAGAGCTGCCCGAACTGCCCGCAAAATAATATCATCGACTGAATTTGCGCCCTTGTTTCCTCCATTCCCCCCCGCCCCTTGCCCTTCCGGCTCCGTTTTTCCCTGTCCCTCCCCTTCCCCCTCCCCCTCCCCCCCCTCCTCCCCCCCTACACACATGAGAGCCGCCATCCGCGCTGCCAGCTTGGGGACTGTCTCCAGCTGCAGCAGGGATATAAAGAGCCAGGAAAGGTGGATGAGGATTAATGGGAAGGGGGAGTGTGTGGGGGCCGGGGGGGAGGGGAGATAAGGTGCAGTGCAGGGGAGAAGAAACGTGCAGCATCGCAGGAGTGCCTGCCACCATTCGTGCTGCCAGCCTGGGGACTGTCTCCAGCGGCAGGGGCGGGGAGAGGGGACGAGGGGGAAAAGGGGAGGGGGGGATACCACATAAGGGGAGGGGGGGATACCACATAAGGGGAGGGGAGTTTACCACACAAGAGGAGGGGGGGATACCACATAAGGGGAGGGGAGTTTACCACATAAGGAGGGGGGGATACCACATAAGGGGAGGGGGGGATACCACATAAGGGGAGGGGAGTTTACCACACAAGAGGAGGGGGGGATACCACATAAGGGGAGGGGAGTTTACCACATAAGGGGAGGGGAGTTTACCACATAAGGAGGGGGGGATACCACATAAGGGGAGGGGGGGAGATCACATAAGGGGAGGGGGGGATACCACATAAGGGGAGGGGAGTTTACCACACAAGAGGAGGGGGGGATACCACATAAGGGGAGGGGGGGATACCACATAAGGAGGGGGGGATACCACATAAGGGGAGGGGGGGATACCACATAAGGGGAGGGGAGTTTACCACACAAGAGGAGGGGGGGATACCACATAAGGGGAGGGGAGTTTACCACATAAGGGGAGGGGAGTTTACCACATAAGGAGGGGGGGATACCACATAAGGGGAGGGGGGGAGATCACATAAGGGGAGGGGGGGATACCACATAAGGGGAGGGGAGTTTACCACACAAGAGGAGGGGGGGATACCACATAAGGGGAGGGGAGTTTACCACATAAGGAGGGGGGGATACCACATAAGGGGAGGGGGGGAGATCACATAAGGGGAGGGGGAGATACCACATAAGCCTTGCTATGTGGCATGGCATGGTGGCGGCTTGTGGCACGGCATTAGTGTGGGAAGCGCGGCATACCGCTGCTTTCCCCCCACCCTGCATCATTCCGTGCATCATCAGCCAGCATTGACTTTCGAGTCGACTCAAACGTCAGGCCGTGCATCATCAGCCACCATCACCTCTCTTTTCCCCGCCTGCCTTTGGCGATTCTCCCTTCCCCTACGTACGTGCAAGCTCGCCCCTCGCTCCCCCTTTCCCATTACCCCCACCTCCTTCTCCCCTCCCCTCCCCCCTTCCCCCCCCACACCCCCGCCTCCCACCCTTTCCCCGCCAGGACGTGCCTGCTCGCGCGCCTGGCCCAAGCGGAACGACCACGCGTGATCCACTAAGAACACGTCACCCTTCGCATCCAATCCCTGCCCGCCAGGTGTCAGCACGACGCGCCTCTGCCGCCCGCCCTCCACCTCCTCGATCGCGAATCTACTCCCCGCATCAAATCTTTCCGCCATGATCTTTTCGAACAGCCGCGGGTAGAGTTCGCGAGGCAGGCCCGTCGCGAGTAACAGCATTTCGTGCACTTTAACGAAGTCCGCTAGGGTTTGGATCCGCGGGGGCGGCGGCGGGGGCGGGAGGGACTCCGCCAGTGCAGCGGAGGCCTCCGCATCAGACGGCCGTGGGGGCGCGTTCCTTGGCGGAGAGGGGTCCGCCGCGGGGGCCATGGGGAGATCGGTCCAGTGAGCAGTTGCCAAGTGGAGAATGCCAGGTGCCACGTGGAGAATGCTTCTGAGGCGAGGCTGACAGAAGCAACGAAGCCTATGTGGGGCGGTGGGTGGTGTTCACGACAGATATGCCTAGAGGTCCAATGCACGTAGTGAGAGAGGGTCGGGGGGGAGGGTTCTGAGGAATTTGGCAATTGTCGCATTTCACGAAAACAAAATGACCTTCGCGAAATCGTCACAGCTCTAGACCAGTGTTACCTTTCCACCACCATCGCAAGTTTCGCCATTTTCTTCCCGCCAAAGGGACTTCAGTCCAGTTCGTCAGGAGCTGTTTTGCACTTGTAGTCGACTGTACAGTGACGAGCTGCGACTAGAACCTTCCATGACGCGTACAGTATCTATCAAATGGTCCCCAGTGAAGCGACCAGTAACGCGGATTTCGTTTTGCTCTGCACACACCTGCCAGCAGCAGTGACCAGCAGAGAGACCCCACAGCTATTGGTAATCATAGCTACTGGTAAACAGATATATTTTCTACGCAGTTATAGCTGTTGCTACTAGTAGAGAGCGTAGCGGTTGCACATTGCTCCTGCCCATTTTCCAGCCTCCGTCATTAGCAGTGATATTCCAAAGCAGCGGCGTTCTTCGCCGTGCCGTTCGCCGTCATTTGCTGGAAGCCTGGAGAGTTCCCATTTCGAAAATTCTACTGCCACTCCTCGTTGAAGGTACCTCCCCGTTGCGCTGCTTTTCAGCACCCCGGCTGGCCTGCCGCTCCCGTCCGGTCCTCTCCATCCCTTTTTTCCGGGTTCCTGGCCGGTTCCTCTCCGCGAAGCCTCGAATCCGATGCTTCGCATCCCACATTGCTTTTGAGTCGACTCGAAAGCTACCGCTCCCGTCCGGTCCTCTCCATCGCCTCATTCCTGGTTCCTGCCAGTGGCCTCGAATCCGATGCTCCGCGTCCCACGTTGCCTCGCCGAGTCGTCCGCCTTTCCAGTTGTTTCACTCCAATGCTCGCATCGCATGCTCGTCGCTCCGTCTATCTCCATTCAGCGTCCCGTTTTCTCATTCAAGCCCGCTTTCCGTTTTATACTCCCCTTGCTTCCGCTTTTCCGTTTCAGGTTGGTCGAGTCCAATCATGAGGTTCTCCGTCACCCCCACCTGCCTCCTCCTCCTCCTTCTCGTTGCCGTCTCTCTAACCACGCCTCTTCGTGACGACAACGACGACTGCCGGCGCGAGAAGCGGGATCTGGCGGAGTGCAAGACGCTGGAGGCGAGCATGAAGGAGCAGAAGGAGGCGATGGTTAAAAAGAGATTTCTAATTACTCATCTCAATTCCTTCGACCTCCCCTTCCTTCCGCTTTTCCGTTTCAGATTGTTTGAGCCCAACCCCAACCATGAAGACCTTCCTAAATCCCACCTGCCTCCTCCTCGTCCTTCTCGTAGCCATCTCGCTAACCACGCCTCTTCTTGCCGACGACAACGACTGCCGCCGTGAGAAGCGGGATCTAGCTGAGTGCAGGACGCTGGAGGCGAGCATGAAGGAGCAGAAGGAGGCGATGGAGAAGAAGGCGAACGCGACGGAGGCGCTGGGGAACAAGAGGCGCGACAAGTTCTTCGACTGCCAGGAGAAGGTCGACAAGGACAACCTCGCCTGGCACAACGAGAAGACTGAGCTCAGTGCGTTGGCCCTTAGTTTCTCTTCCCCCGTACTCTCCTTAATGTCTCGGGTTCACGAGCGCATGTGAGGCGGGTAAGTGTCAGGAGAAGGTCGACCAGGATAACAACGCGTGGCGCAACGGGAAGACTCAGCTCAGTGCGTTGACCCTCACTTAATCTCCCCCCCCTCTCCTCCCCCCTCTCCCCCCCCACCCTCTCTCTAAGCCTCTCATCTCTTATGCATGCCCAGACCACTCAGACACGTGCAAACAGTGATCCTTACTGCCTCCCTCACGTCGCTTTTCGCTAAGTTGCCGCTGGATGTATTTCAGTGGCCCATCCCCACTTCGGACTTTCCTATCATCCTGCATTTGCACTCGGCTTTGGTGTGGGCAGCTGCACGTATTGCTACGTTGGACCAGAAGGTCAAGGGTCTGGAGGAGCAGCTCAATGCCAGGGACAGAGAGTTGTAGCAAACACACCCATCCAAGATTGCCTTGTTTACTTATGGCCTTCTGCAAACAAAGTTTGTGGATTTATCCAGAGCGATATAAATGTCATTTGTCCGATGCTCTATGTTATCCCATAACTCGCTGAAGAGCCAAGAATTGGCTTTGCATGGGATGCAATTTATTACGATATGAGAACATGATTTTTGCACTTTGATTTTTCTGAAAGCTACACTTGTCAACCTGAGCATCAAGGTTCATTCAGCGATGTTGGGCTGAGAAAAGCCCTTAGGATCTTTCCAGAGACTTAAGTCCCAGTTGAAGATTGAGACTTGAGTAGTGCAGCGGAAGTTGAGTAGTTGAACCCTTGTACTAGTATATGAGAACAAGTGAGTGATTAAAGAAACAAGCATACAACAATATATAGAAGATAAGAAAGCAGTTGTAGAATACAGTTGCAGGAGCGGTTATCGAGTCGCACAGCGACTCGATTGTCGCTTCGGTTACCATCCGCGCTGTTGTAACGGTCAGTCGCAACCTCCAGTTGCGACCCTTCGAGTCCCTTCGCGTTCTTTGTTCGCCCCCTCGTGTAACCTCCGTTGACTCGCGTACCCGTTGCGATCTTCCTCGAGTGTAGTGTTACACTTCAGAAATGCTTAAGTCCTTTGAGATATTTCCAACACTCCCCTTCGTTTCTGGAGTGCTGACGTGTTCAGATCCGGTGACGTTTGTCTGCCCGGTCAGCAGCGTGCAGTAATCGAATTTTGCCTTCGCCAATTTCTTCGTCAGATAGTCTGCGGCCATTTCTGTCGTCGGGCAGTAACAGAGTTGAAGTCTCCCCTTCGCGATTTCATCCTTGACGAAGAAGTACCGCAGGGCGATGTGCTTGGTTCGGTTGGCGAAGCCGTCCTTGTTCGCGATTTTGATCGCAGATTGATTGTCGCAGAGGAGTGAGAAGACGGGCAGGGTCGCAATCTTCGCTTCCTCGAGCAACTCTCGTAGGTAGAGTCCTTCCTTGGTCGCAGTACAGAGAGCGATATATTTTGCTTCAGCCGAAGATAGTGCGATTAGTTCCTGCTTGCTCGACTGCCAGGAGATAGTCCCGATAGGTTCTAGTCGGTAGATATAGCCCGTTCTTGATCGTCGATTTTCCTTGTCTCCCGCGTGGTCGGCGTCGACGTATCCGAGTAGTTGTACGGATGATGTCGTTAATTAACTGTAGGTAAGCCCGGTCGTCGGCGTGGAGACGAAGTAGAGTAGTGCCCGATTAAGTTCATCAAGATCTTCTTGTTCCGGCTGCTTCAGATGCGTCGCCAGTTGGCTCGCGCTATAAGAGAGATCGGGTCAGCAGGTTACTGCTGCGAATAGTAGGCATCCGAGCTTCTGCTGATACTCCTGGATTTGCTTCGCGGGGAGTTTTGCGGAGGTGCTGTTATTGTTCCCGTAGCGGTAGGGAGTCGGAACCGTAGTCGGCGTTAGACCGAATTTCTTCGCGACAGTGCCTGCGTACTTTCCAGCGTGTAGGTAGAGCGCCGAGTTGTCTTCGACGACATTCAATCCCAGGTACTGGGTCACTGCATTGGACACCGTGAGTATCAAGTCCTCTTTCAGCTCCCTTTCGAACCAGGTGGCGATGTCGGTAGTGGAACCGATGTAGAGCAGGTCGTCGACGTAAACGATGAGTAGGATATACTCTCTTCCCTTTTGCAGTCGGTACATGCCTTGGTCATGCGGCAGCTGTAGGAATCCGATTTTTACGAGGCGACCGTGAAGATGCTGCTGCCAGAGCCGCGGGGCTTGCTTGATCCCGTATAGGGATTTCATCAGCTGGCATACTTTCGTGGGGTCGTCGATGAATCCGTGGGGTTGCTCGACGAAGATCTCAGCGTCCACAGGTGCGTACAGGAAAGCGTTTGCGACGTCGATTTGGCGCAGTGGTAGTTTCTTCGTGGCTGCGACGGCGAGTAGGATGCGCAATGAGGTGTGACGGGAGACTGGGGCGAATTTTTCTGTGTAGTCGGTTTTTTTTATCGTTGATCGAACCCTCGTACGACCCATCGAGCTTTGAATCGTTCGGTGGAACCGTCCGCATTGGTCTTGATGCGGTACACCCATTTTCCCAAGAGGACGTTGTTCCCGTTGATGCTTGTTGCAGGTACCAGCTTCCATGTATTTCGGTCTTGCAGAGCCTTTAACTCCTTTCCCATCGCCTCCTTCCATTTCGCCTTATGTTCTCCCCCCAGAGCCTGCGACAGAGTCGAGGGCTCGCGCGGAGATGGCGGCGGCGGATGCTGGACGGAGACCCATAGGCCGAGTATCTGCAGTCCCGTTGGTGTGTGTCGAGGGGAATTTTCATTCCCGGAATAGGCTGCTTCGTCAATGTCTTCTGGATCAGGTAAGAAGTTTGAGCCGATGCGTTCTGAAACATTCGTGTCGACCGGGTGGGGTGTAACGTAACCTTGGTCAGCGAAGTGGTAAAAGGTGTCGAGGTTGTTGCTATCGAGAGAATTGTCTTCGTCGAGTGGAACAGGTACGGAACAGAAAGGGAGTGGTCCGGCAGCTTCCGAGGCTCCAGGTACGTCTTCTTCTACTGCGTCAGCCTCGGCAGCACGGTCGGCAAAGGAACGAAGGCCCGCGAAGCCGTCGGTGGGGTCATGTGTGTTGGGAATGTTGTCCAGGTAATGCTGCAGCGTCAGTCGCTCGTAGAAGAAAACATCACGTGATGCCACTGTAGTTTTGTCTTGTATGTCGAGGATTTTCCATGCGTGAAAATGTTGTGCGATGCCGAGGTGTAGCCCCCATCGTGCTCGTTGAGTGAAACGTTCGGCTCTGGCTGTGTGGGGTCTGTACTGTACCATGCAGCCGAAAACTCGAAGTAATTTTGTGCTGCCCTGTTTTCGTGTCCATAGCAGGTGCGGTGATGCGTTGTTGGGAAGTGATGACGAGGACAACAGGTTGTGCAGGTGGACTGCATGTGTTATCGCGTCTAGCCACAGTGTAGTGGGCAGTTTCATCCCCAGGAGCAGCTTCCGCATCGTCGTCTGCAAGGTCCGGCTCATGCGTTCTGCGACCCCCTGCTGCTGGTGAGCGTAGGGCAGAGACACCAGGCGTCTGATTCCTCTTTCCGCCAGATAGGTCCTGAAGCGTTGTGACTGGTATTCCAGTGCACCGTCTGACTGGAAGCTCTTGAGCTTGGTTCCCGATTCTCGTTCGGCGATGGGGCGCCATGTCGTGAAGGCGTCGAAGGCTTGATCGCGCGTCTTAAGGTTGTAGTGCCAGACGTATCTTGTTGCTGCGTCGATAAACGTGATGACATAGTTGAAGTCGGCTTCAGTGTCTTCT